AGTAACTACATCGATAAGAGAAATACCGTTGAGCGAGAACTACTAGAAATCTCTCATAAAATTTCATTTACGAGCGATCATTACTCGAGTAACTCGATATCTGTATACTCTGTCAATGCACACTAAACGTTACGGGACTTTCAAGTTACAAGTTAGATAAAATATAAGAAAATATATTAATAGACTTTTTTTTAATGGTAATCTGTTAATATTGTAGTATTTACTAAACCGTCATACTCGTGAACGAGTCCTGCTTGTACTGATCTGCTCTAATCACTAGGGCTGATTTACTCTTATTTAGTTACTCAATCAGTTCGTTGTGTATATAATATTTTGTATCTAATGAATTAGTGATAGTTGGTAGTTTATATTTTCACATTTTTAACTTAAAAATTTAGAGTACCACACAAGTTTCCTGATTCTTGTGATGAAATAGTTTCCGAATGAACGGTAGATTTAAAAAAGTGACTATTCTATTCTAATCTAATATTTTAGGAAAAACAGTTCTATTCTTGTCAATTCTTCTCAAATGAAACTGTACCCTGAAAATAACTGTAGAGACAATAAGTAATGTAAAAAAATGTATTAACGGTTTTTTCTTTAAATATACCATAAGACTCTTATTAATACACTGTGAAATTAAATTTATATGGCGGTTAATTTAATGAAAATGCAAAAGTAAAATATGAGGTAGGAAAGTTTTACCTATAATATTACATTAGTTCATAACAGTACTTTCAAATAATGTAGATAGACTCAATTTATCAGGAGACATATTTGAGGATGGATTGTTTTTGAAAACTTAATTCCAGTTTAGATACTTTAGACATAGTAAGCCTTACCTACCTTAAAACTTTTTCTTTCCTAGATGACATAAAACTCCATCTAACGAAATATATATTTCTTGTTGCTTTTGGATATATTCTTATTTTATAAGCATATAAAAGTTTGTATTCAATGAAAAAACAAATCACACGATTATGGGTATTATTCACTATTGTAAATAATAGTAATATCCTATGTTAAATCAAGATAAAAAAGAGTCGAACAAAAACTGACTTTAAATGTGTTACAAACTTAGTAAGAATTAAATTAAAAATATTTCGAATGATATTCATGAATATGACTAATTCAAACTTAAATGTTAGATGAAATATTTAGATATTATATTCAATCCGACTATATTACAAGTCATTGCAGTAAATTGTGAAAAAGATTAAGTATTGTAGTTATTTTTGAATACAGTCAATTCAAACTGTTAAAATTTTACAGTAATGCAAACAAGAAATACAGAAGCATATAATAATATATCTGCAAAGTAAACCATCCAAATTGCGATATGATGACAAATAACATCGAATACAGTGTTTCCCAACCTTTTTAGAGCCATCCGCCACCTTAGCCTTTCTAAAATTCTTATGCCCCCCACCCTATGTAACATATGTAAATTATGACATAAAAAATTGAATTTTTGACTTTAAAAAACTTAAAAAGAACTTTTAACTTAAGAAACTAAATAACAGGTGTTAGGAAGAAATCACTAGGAAATTGTTAATGAAACGATAAGTAAATTTACAAAACATATAATGAAAAATTATAATTGAAATTCTATATAATTTTAATAAAGATTTCATTTTCGAATTGAAACAGCCTTTACAATCAAATTGCCCTGTCGGACTTAGGCCACACGTTGGGAAATACTGATGTAACCTTATCATACACACTAATAAGACTTTATAAGCAAATTCAAAATGAACAATGTCTAGATAAGGTTCCTCTTCAACTCAATCAAACACAGGTCGTTCTTTAATTATAATATAATGACCTGATTATCAAGTGAGATAGTATCATTACTAATTCAAGTACCTTGGCTCCGTTCATGCTAACGATGCAGATGTAATATAAAAGTTCTCAGTAGAGTAGTTGGTTTAAATTTACCAGCATATGATTAATACTTGTCTGTTACAAGTACAGCAACTCTGAATAAGTACAGTGGAATACAGCACAGCTTTTGCTTCACGTATTAATATCATTATATTAATACGTGAAGCAAAAGCTTTACGAAACTTGCGAGAACGGAGGAGTATGAAATTTCTCACACTTATAGTTTTATATAGAGAAAGAGTTCAGAATGCTGTGTTTTTTGTTATGCAAAATTGTGCTTAAAGATACAATAAATCAATAAAAAAAACATTACACGTACTACCATGTATTGACCACACATAGGCGTAGAAGTCTTTGATATTAGAACCTTAATAATGTTCAAACTTACTGGACATTGGACCACCAGTACTAATAATTCAAATTCAAGTTCAAAAATCATTTATTCATGTAGGACATTCCAGCCACTTATGAACGTCAAGTTTTTTACATTATAATTTTAATTTTTTTCCCTACCGTATATCTATACATCAATAAATAATATAATATTACATCAATAAGTAAACACTGCAATTATAACAATGCTACATGGGCACGCGATGATACTGATCAGCACAAAGTACTCGTTATAGGGTCTCCTTTAAAACTGTGATGAATAGAATTGATTGTTATTCTTATCGGTTAAAGTGGATACTATAAGTTCCGGAATACTGTAAAAGATAATAGACAATAGAGAATCGCTGAGACGGACTAACAATGGTAATAGTAAAACTTGCGTCAAAAATTATGAAGAGCAAGAAGTAAGAAAACCTATTAAGTACACTTTTTAATAATAAGAAATATTTATTGAATCCCAAACTCTTAAAGTAGTGTAAACTGTATGTATGTGTGTAGGTCCTACACAAAACACTAGGAATACAGATTCAAATGGAGATACAATTAAAGATTTACATAAAAATTATAAGCAACAGTTTAAAAATTTTAATTTTGTTTGCGTGTGTGAGTGTGTACGTACAAACTCAAAGTTTACAGTTCTACCATGTGTAGTATGCATAAGATTTATCATCTTCTAACTTTATAGATACGAAGATTACAATATGACTGAATTCCGACCCCAAGTCAATTAAAATGTGACCAGCGACCGAATAATTAAGTCGTTTGCAACAAAGTCATAAATGGTTCTTATAGATGTCTCGAAGTCAGTCCTAAATATTATTCAATGGTTATTGTAGTATTGTTATCAGTTAACACTATAAGTTCACGGTTGTTCTTATCGCTAATTAAAGTTCGCCAATCGGATGTGACTTTGTTGGACTCTTTTTCATTCCTACAATATGAATCACTGCTACTCTTATGTAATTATATTTAAAAAACTACTTCTATGTAATTGGTAATTTTGTTAATAAATTATTAATAGCTATACAATAATAAGCGTGGTTAATCGTGGTGTTGGACAGTTAATTTTGCTTGAAATTATTTATAGGAACTGAATCATTTTGCATTGCTCACGATGAATACGTCATACTCATTGATAATATTGCATTAAAGGTGATAGAATTTTTAAAGTCTGTCAAATATATTTTCAGCTTCAATATCACGACCAAAAACTGAAATATTTTAATAATAATAATAATAATCGTTTATTCAGCATAGCATAATACAGAGTGGAAAATATAAAGGTGCTTCAAAACTAATATTGCGCTATAAGTTGAAAGGGCCTGCACTCATCTGGTGCCGCAGCATGTCACTGCAGCGCAGATTTTCCTCTTTAATATTAGATTATTACTTGAGTTCAATAGATACCAGATGAAATTTTACATCTTGAATCAATGCAGAATGCAGCAGTGAAATTTAATGAATTAAAATAAGTATTCCTTTTTTGAAATTCTTGGAGTCTGTAGACAATAATAGAGAGATATTTACAATAACTGTAATAAACAGTAATATAGGCGTTATAGACACAGATTTAGAAATAGATCCAGAATTTGTTTCAACCAATTGTGTTTATGTTCAAACTATTCTATTATTTATGGGTTTTGGTTACTTAGAAGGTACAAATCTATTCGTTATCAGCTTGGTTTCTTGGACTATCATAAATTGCTACGTCAAAGTTGAAATTTATAGTGCAGTTAGGAATGTCAATTTTATTACTCAAAGCGCTTTAGATAGTACCTAATACTTACAGTTATTATAGTGTGCAATTCCGATTAGTTTCATACACGATGAAACGTATAGATAGATTTTTCTCTTTATATATTGGCTTAGGATCACAATGGTGAACATGTTAGCTCTGTCTTAGCTTCTAAATTAATTGCATAACTACCTCAAAGACAAATATTGCTGATTTACTTTTATCCCCACAAATTTATAAATTGACCAGCTGTGCCCGCGGTTTCATTGGCGTTAAATTTCAATATAAAATAGTCTATGTGTTATTCTGATGCATAAGCTATATTACTGTAAACTTTCATCAAAATCCGTTTAGTAATTTTTGCGGGAAAAAGTAACAAACATTCATAATTACAAACGTGCATTTATAATAGGCAATAGGTATTATTAAGATTATTTAGTAGCAGGAATTTTAATATATTCACTTGGTTATTATCTATATCTTATAGAATTTCCTAATTATGTAACAAATTTTTGTTTCCTAAAACTTTCAGTAGCATTTATAAAAAATACCTAATTTATAAATACTATGTACTAATTTCTTAGTTTAAATGCATCTTTCGTTCGTACTTCAATGATTTCAATAATAAATGGTAATAAAGAAGAAACGGCTGACGTATCACGAATAATGAATAAAGTTGGCGCGTAGCAGATTTCATTCGAAATATCATCGTTTGTCGATTACGAAGCGGCGTTAAGTTTTTTGTTAGCACTTCATTTGTCTATCCGGCTCCGTCGGTTTGCGCCGGGGCGCCGGATGAGGTGAATAAGAGTACGCACGCGCTTGCTGACGTTGCACAATTCACGACTCACGGCGGCCTTACTAGCAAAATAGAGACTCGGTTCAGACATGGCTGGCCCCCCTCGCCGGTGTTCGCCGCCGTCTCCTACCCTCCCCCCGCGACACACCCGACGGCGCCGCGCCTTCAGTTGCTCCGCAGCTGCCGCGCGTGATCGTCGCATACTCCATGCGACCCCGCTATTCCTCTACTATAATATGGATATACAGCACATCCGCGCTCTTATCAACATCCAATTCTCGTATTTGTGGTTTTGCGAAGTGTTTATCAAATATAAATGGATTATTTTGTAAAGTGCCATTGGAAACGATTACTTTTATAAGGTTCGCACTAAATTTTCTATGGCATACCATAGCGGGCGCGCCGACGTGTTCGGCACATGGCTTCATAATAATATGTAGCTGGTGGAAATTACGTCAGAAGTGACAACAATCTGGTCCATCGTAAATCGAGAGTGTAAATATTCTATAATCAGTGAAACACAGTGGATTTGTTTTAGTATAAGACGCTTACTACTTGTCAGTCGTGGCATGGCGCACTCGTGGCGTCTACGTAACATTATGGCGGGTTTTGGATTTAGTCCTATTAAACTACAGTTCTGATGTAGGGTCACAACTAGTTGGATTTTGTTAATCGTTGCTTCTCTTATAATAATATATATATATAATAATAGAATAAAACAATGTTTTATGAGTAAAATGATTTCCTACAAACGTTTATAACAAAATTAAACCGAAAATAGTGTTATTTTTACAAATTAAGACTTGCAATTAATATTTTAAATTCTTCTGGCAAATTTGTAGTGGCTTTGTTTGAAGCACGATTCCCTCCGAGGTCACCAGCTGAACAAAACATTGGCTAATCACTTCGTTCAATGAATAGCTTACCTCAACAGCCATGATCAAAGTCCGATTGCTTATTCGAACGTATTGTATTCTAGAGTTAGTAATATAAATACCTAAAAACTATTGAACTCTGAAATTACTAGTTTTAGTGCGAGATACTTATAACTTCCTAGTCAATGGCGAGTAATATCTGCCGCCATTCTGCAGATGTTGCTCGATGTGTGCATCGGATGTGCATGTGTGCGTTGCCATAGTGCATCGTGGCTGCGACATACCATTAGGGCCCGTAGGCGTGGCCGGAGGGAAACTTTCATTGCTAGTTTCCTGGTACTAAGGCCGCGAAGTTCCAAGAAGCTACAAATTCAAACATGTTAGGTAACCATGGCAGTATAAATAGGTTACGAAAGAGTCTATTGACAATATTTTATCCGATAGTGAAAGCTCTTCTACATTATAACCAGTATCAGTAAGAATTTTTATAGATATTTCAGAGCATGTTTTGAGACACATGTTTTTTTATTAGCATATGTGAAAATCTAGTACAAACAATCCCGACTTAGTTCGTTTACCGTATTGACGCTAATATGTGAATTTTGTTATTGACAATGTACTATACAATTCAATTAATTTTTATTGGTCGTTCTTCTCTATTGCCTTCTAACATACGATTAATTTTAATAGTTATAATAATAGCTTTTCCAATTATGTAGTTACATGTATTTGTTCGTATACAGAAAATAATTTCAGGATTTCTTTTCGATTTTATTTTTAATTGTATACCTACTATCCTATCTATACCCGTCTCAGTTTAAGAAGAGATTATGCAACGGGATTCTGCCACGTGGCCCAATATTAAATTGTGCGCATGTCTGACAAATCCGACATTACTTGACACTGTTGAAATTTGGTGATATTTTGGATGTACGTAATTTCGCCAATACAAAAAAAAACATAAGCAAAAACTCGTTAAAACGTTTATAATAATCAATAATGGCATTAAATAAAAATACACATGAAGTAATTAAAGATATAATTCTAGATTTCTAGATTCTTTGCATATTGAACGGAGATGAGTCTCCGCTCAATATGCAAAGGGAAAGTAGTGTTCTATGAAAATCTAAGTCTGGAAATAAATTCACTTTCGTATCGGAGAGTATACGATATTACAATTAAAAGTCTGACTACCACACCACGTGGCGGCGGGATGCACTGCGCAGGTCCACACGTCTCAGCTGTGATCCGAGAAAATCGTTACCGGCGTCTAACGCATCCATTTTCGTGTCACGTGGTCGCATTAATGACTCCATTATATCGGGTTTTACTCTAGTCAATTAGATATTTTGATTCCAGCTAGTTGAGTACTGCATACTGGTATTACCTATTTTTAAACTTTCGCGTTTAGTACATATACTTAATAACGTTAAACGGGCGCAACCTAGTTGATACGTAGAATGAGGTAAATAGCTTTATTTGCCATAAAATTATTTGTGTTAAAACCCGTTTAATAATGCATACTGGTATTGTTTTTACTTTTTAAGTAAAGTACTTAATATTATTTATACACTACTGATTAGACGACAATTTAATTCTAATTAAATAGCAGGGTATGTTCATTATTAGGTTACTATCAATCTAATCATATTATGGGCTTCTGCCATTTTAAGTCGTATTTATTAGATCTAATTGTTTCTCGTATTTATTATTCATAAATACTAATTGTGGTTTTTTAGTTAAAGAGCGAGTTTTTAGATTTGTCGGTTCTTTGTTCTTGACCTACCTCTATATTACATTGTTCAAGGCTTTATATCAGCTACTTATAGTATACATCTGTTGTTTACATGCTTATTTGTTTTATTACCATTTCATGTTTCATATTCTTATGTACTTCTGGGTGTTGTTAGGATTATTATAAGACTTGTATTTTTGAAATATTATGACAAAGGTCTATGGTTTGTACCGTAAAAGATATTAGCGTAAAAATGAGTATTAGACCTTTTCTGTTCTTCAATAATTAAGTCTTGTAATTAGTATTCCAATGAGTTTATCATACTTCTAGGTCAGGTTCCTCTCATAAATGTCGTGTAGCTTATCTAATAAACAGTAAGTTTTGCCAAATTTTCCGTTTCTTCATATTACGGACTTGTTACATTGTTAGCAGAGCCACTACTTTTGTATAAATAATTAATTCATTTATAACTTTGTATGTGCTGCCAAGATATGCAGTGGTTGACTTATCTTTCACGTGACTTATTTCAGTATAGATGTGTACATAACGATCAGGTGATTTTTATTTACAATGGCAGACCATGCCAAGTCGACTTTCTCCCTATGCATTCGTTCTAATAAATCTTTTCAGAGTTCGATATAAATCAGTTGTAGCTATAAGAAAAGGGCTGATATCTAAATGTGGAATTTATGTGATTTACTGTGTCATAATATTCTATGAGATATAATTTAAGAACACGTAGAGAAAACTATGTCCTAAACTATGTCTAATAAAGGTTATAATAGACATTATTGTAAAATGAAACTGTAGTTCAATACCAGTTATTTTCAGTCACGTTTTCTAATCTTGTGCGAATTTTGTGAAATCACCTCTTAATACTGTTATTTTAACAATTTTCTAGTTCCTTAGTGCCTTCTTTTACATAATTTAACACATGTGAGAGAATTGTTTAGGGAAGTGAATAGAACCTTAATTATATTATGCTATAATTCAAACGGCCTTGTCATTGGAGAACGTCTGTTATGCTGCTCTACATCCGTACAGCTTGATTCCATATTTGCTGCACTTGACATTTACTATAAAACTACTTTCACAGCTCTAGTTTTAATTAATGTCACTACCCAAGACAATATTGAATGATTTATAAAGGATATACGTTGATCATAAACTATCTAGAGTAAGTAAGGCATGTAAAAATAATAAGTATATCTTATCTATTGCATTAAAAACCTATATCATGAAATGCAGAATATTTTGTTTCATTCAAAAAGTTACAATTAAATTAACAAAAAACTTATATCAAACTGACACGATAGTGAAGTATGTCGATTATATTATTAAAGACTAATTAAAGTCCTTTTAATTTTATCCTATCGTATCAGTTTTGCCAAAAAAATATACAATTTGGATAAAATTCGACTCAAACAGTCTAAAGATCTATACAGATATCTCGTCGAAATCTCCGACAAGATTTAGATCACTTGTATGTTTTTAGGTATCATATAATCTGAGCCTACTCGATCTATGTTGACTAGTCAAACCATACTCTCACGTAACAATGGTTCAGTCACGAGCCCAAGTGCGGAAATGTCCGGACCAATTAACTAATTGCAACACTCAAGCGATCATGTCCATGTTACATTTATTTGAATTCTATTATTCTTATATTAAAATTATTACGGATATCTAGTATTCCTATTGCAAGCTATTCTATTGTACGATTTGTTTATACATTGATTTCAAAATAATTACTCTATCTTTCAGTCGTTTATAAACAAAATGTTTGATCTCAGTAAACAAGAATTGTTTGATTAACGAACCAATCTATCATGATGAAGTTTTGTAATTTAGTTTCGTTTCAATTTTAATCATAGCAGTTATAAACAACTAAATATTTGTTTTTTGTATTAGCAGTATTGTAGACCTTACCACTCTTATATTTATACTTTGTCTTACTGTTGGTGTTCCACCGTGACTGGCCACCATGATAGTTTGTTTATTGCAATCTATCGGTGATTCAGGTGAAGGTCAGGGTCGCTCCCGCGGCGCCTGGACGCAGAATTGTTCACATGACTTGTTTGTGCGTTGCGTAGCCGACGCCGCGTGTAACGTGTGCCCGCCCCATTGGTCGACTTCAAACCGACCGCTATTTAAAACCTTATGGTGCGACGAGTCCGTTAACGGCGACTTGTTGTTGTAGACAATGCTTTCCCCTTTCTTAATTGGATTGTATTTCAGTATTACGTTCATTGTTATTTTAATATTAGCTTTCATAAATTTGTTTTAATCAAAACTGATTATGTCCCTCATTAGTTTCCCGTTTCATTTAAGGTATAAGTATTTTTTTAGTCTTACATCTACTTGGACTGTTGTACACAACTTTCTCTCTATAAATTTACACTATACGTGTATTTTTATACTTTACTGATTCTACAGTGTTTATATCTTCATACGCCAGTTCGTTTATATTTTGTTTGTCGTTCTTGAAGTCTTATTTGCGACCTTTATGAACATCTCTAATAAAGAAAACACATATGCAAATATTATTCTCAGTACCGGCACTGTACCGGCGAGGACAGTGACAAATGCTTTTGTCAGCAAGGTCGTTCATATTAGCCAGCCTGGAAGAACGGCCTTGCTCTGTTAGTACCAAACACCGTACATATTTACTTGTTTCCTGATTCGATATAACATATTAAGCGCAATTAAAAATTTATCTTTATGAACAAACTGTACTTATTTGACTATTGAT